ATTATAATATATCAATTAACATGTATGTTCTAAACTGTCTCATATTATCACTTATATTATATAACCACTAAGAACAACTATAAACAACCTAAGGGATATGGGAACAAAACCAAGGAAATTCAAGGAAAAAAGGAAATAAAGCACTCTTTAGACTCATGGTTTAAATGAATGTGGTATTAATACCGTAAGAACACTAAAATTTTGATTATGCTTTTCTCTGAAATCAAAATGCATCCTACATTTTATACCGACTCCCAAACAAGAAAATGGAAACAAATTTATAGATTATACAATCTCATTTTCAAAAAGATACATTTTTAAGATTTATATATGTATGCTTTTATACAATTAGAGATTTCCTATCTAGACACCAAGAAAATCATCCCTGTGGAAAGTGAGAATGGGAGCTTACAGAACTTTTACTTCTCCCTATGTACCCTTCCGCATAGTTTGAATTATGTACTTGTTCACAAAGGTATCTCTCAAGTTTTGTTTTTTTTTTTTTAAATCAGGAACAATGTTTATAGTGTATTTTGCTTAAATGTTAAAAAGAAGAAAAGCTACATAATATATATATATGTATTAAAACTGATAACTGGGAGGGGCACATGAGGAAATGAAGAGGGAGACTTTTTATTCTATGTATCTGTGAATTGTTAATATCCTTTAAAAAATGAATTTGGGCATTACTGCTGTAACTTGTAATTACATAATATGCAGCTATATCACCAAATTTTTAGGTTTACATTTTACATAACCTGCTAAATTCATAGGAGTCAGGAAGATTCTCACCACATAGAGTTACAGAATGAGTGGTTAGCTTTACTTACTCTGATAATTATCTAAAGTCATCTAAAAAATGTAGGATTAGGTTTTTTAAGCAAAACCATCAGAGTATTTTTGGAAAAGACCCTATTTAAACAATGTTACTTGTGCACAATGTTTTCAAAAGAATTTTACTTGCATACTGTGACTAATTTACAACAACAGTCCTTCCTCATTCTAGTTTGTTCACCTTTAAATTTATTTTGCAGAAAGCAATCTCACTGCCTTGAATCGAAAGATGAAGCAGTAGTTACAAGTATCTACAAAAAAATTTAAAAACTCCCTGATTACTATACCTTTGGGTAGAAAAATCCTGGTTTATGCTGAGATCTATAAAAATATCTTTTTTACCTGACAGGACCAACATATTGGCACTTCATATTTGGCACTTTATCCAATAACCTCGGTAGAACTGGATATAAATGTATTACATTTAGAAATCTCTCATCAAACAATAAACTGTAATGTTCATGTTATTATAATATGTTGGCTTTGAGAAGATATGTGAATAAAAAATTAAAAGATTAAAAAAAAAAGAATTCTTACAAATAATAAAAAATGCTGATGAGGATGTGAAGGAAAAGGTGTACTCTTACACTACTGGTGGGACTGAAAATTAGTGCAACCACTCTGGAAAGCAGTGTGGTGATTCCTAAAAAGACTAGGAATGGAACCACCATACAACCCAGCTCTCCTGCTCCTCGGTATTTATCCAAAAGGTCTAAAATCAGCATATTAGAGCAATATACAGCCACTTCAATGTTCATAGCAGCACAATTCACAATGGCCAAATTATGGAATCAACCCAGATGCCCATCAACAGATGAATGGATTAAGAAAATGTGGAAATATATATGTATATACATATATACACATACACATGCACACAATGGAGTTTTGCTCAGCCATGAAGAATGAAATAATGGTATCTGCCAGCAAATGAATGGAAATAGAGAAAATAATGCTAAGTGAAATAAGCCAGACTCAGAAAATCAGGGGTATAATGTTTTCTCTCACATGTGGAAGCTAGAGCAAAACAATGGAAAGAAGGCAGTTGGGGAGGGGATTGAATATCATAAAGCAGGGAAGGTCAGGAAAGTAGGACAATTAAAGTGAGGAAGGAAGGAAGGGAAAGGGGAAGAAAAATGGGATACATTTAACAAAGTCATGTTATATTAATATATAAAGGTACCAAAGGGATTTCACCTTTATGTATATGTAGAACAAAGGAAGTTTAGAGGAATAGGGGAGGGAGAATAAAGGGAGATGGGGAGAAAAGGTGAGGGAAGGATGGGGACTGAATTCAAATTCCTTCCAGGTACGATTTTGTCAAAATGAACCTGAATACTATGCATAATTATAATGCTGTAATAAAAAAATTAATTAAAAAAAAAGAGTTCTGGAGCCAGGATATAATTTAGTCAGTACAACATGTGCATGGCCTAGGGTTTGATCCCTGGCATTAGAGGGGGGAAAAAAAGTTCTGAAATGGAAGTCATAATGATCAGAGCTCTAGAGCAGCCCATCATTAATTTGCTCTGTGACCTACCTTGGACAAATCACTTTTACCTCTTTGAACCCTAGTTTTCCCCCAACTATAGAACAAAAGACAGAAGGCTTAGAGAATCTTATTTTCCAGAATCCCTAGTATCTAAGAGAAGTTAGTAAATCTATAGACCCTAATACTAAAAGTGTTTGCACCAAAAATTTTGCTTACAATTTCCTTTGATATCCATCCTGAACTCTCAAAGACTTTGTGCTAAAAGTTCTCTTAAGATTGTTCTATGCACTATAATTCTACTAAGTTCATAAAAGAACTATATGGCTAACCTAATGGAAGAAGTATGCAAATAATATATTAGTAACAAAATATATTACTAATTATCTTGAATATGAAATCTTATTAACAGCTTAAGTATAGCAATTTACTATATAAAAAAGTCAACTCACAGCCAGGCACAGTGGCACATGCCTAAAATCCCAGAGGCTCAGGAAGCTGAGATGGGAGGGTCTTGAGTTCAAGGCCAGCTCATCAAAGCAAAGCACTAAACAACTCAAGGAGACTCTATCTCTAAATAAAATACAAAATAGGGCTGGGGATGTGGCTCAGTGGTCGCAGGCCCCCGGAGTTCAATCCCTGGTACCCTCCGAAAAAAGTCAACTCAGACACATAGATAGATAGATGCTAGAATCATCATTTTTAGTTATATATTTTAATGCTTAATAATCGAAGGATCAATAATAATTTTAACTATCACTAAATGCATTAATTTATATCCTGTCTGGTTCTACTATCCTATAGGTTAAGAACCACAGGCTAGTAACAGACAAACCTGAGTGTGAATCCTCAATCTTACATTTTCCATGTAAATTACTTAGCGCCTACATGTTTGAGTTCCTTAGTCTACAAAATGAAAATGAGAGTAATAATATCTGTAGCTCAGAGTTACTGAGAATGCACTCAATAAATGATAGCTATTAATAATAATAAATTTGAATATAACCTTTACATTGAGGAAGTAAGGATGTAATTCCAAAAAAGTAATTTCCTATTTTTAATAACATTTTTTCAATACTCTTCTCTGAAATGATAAAAAGCATGTAAACAGGTATCTATATAACATATGAGAGGTAGTGGGGTAGAATGGAAGGAGAGAAAATCCGGCTTTAGAGTCAGACCTGAGTTCAAGACCTAATTCAGTCACCTAGTAGTCATATAACCCTGGCTCCTTAAAGCTGAAGAAGGACTCATCAAATAGGTAAAGTATGTAAAGCATCAAGTTCAATATCTAGGATTCATTAAATAGTACTTACTATCATTTTCTTACCTGCCTTTCATAGCTTATAAAAAAACAGTACAGGAAAGGTACTGGTAAGTACTAACACAGATTATAAAAGGCCAATGATGAACACTGATTTTATCCATGTAAGTAAAAAAGTAATGTTGTTTGTCTGGGTCATATACTCCTTCCAGACTCTAATGAAAATAGGGCCACTAACTCACAGGAAAAGTTCAATAAGACCTATATGTCAGGGACTTTAAGAACCTTGTATTAAAGGGGATACTAGCTAGTTTATCAAGAATTTGGAAATGTTATCTAGCCAGCTTTGTAGCAAAACCATACATTATCTTGACTCATAAGCAAGCAAGTAAATCCTCCTTTTATTAGACTTGTCAATTTCTTAAGAAGCTAAAATATCTAGTGGTGTGTATTGAAACAAAACTTGATAGATGAAACTACAAACCATGCTAGTATGATGTTAGATCACATAACCTTATCATCGAACCAAAAGGAAAAAAGAAAATTAAGTCTGGCTGCATTCAATTATTTGAACGTTTGAACCAATTCAAGTAATCAAATAAACATCTACCGTTCAAAAAATTACAAACATGTCTTAATTTACAAAAACAAAGCTGAGCCAGCAAACATAAAAGTTTACTGAATGACTGAATGTAGTTTATCCTTACTTCTACTCCCTGAATGGCTTCTCAAACTCCCTGAGTAAATAACCTCATCAAACTATTTACTGTAGCATAAGAACGAAGTTAAAGAGTACCAAAGACTCAATTCTCCGAATGAGCGACCCAGAAGGAGCTCGGTACTGGACCAAGTTTTGCCCCAGTGACCTTGGTCCCAAAGATTCCGGTCCCTCCCTCCAGCCGGTCTTTCCACGTGCTGCCGGGCGCGGTTACCCCAAAGGTGGCTGGCTGCACGTCAGGGAAAGCGCTAGAAGACCCGAAAGCACGAAGGGAACAAGGGTTGCTAACAGCACCTGGACGGTGCCATCCCTTCCCTCCCGGCACCGACTCCTCCCGCGGCGCGCACACTGACCCACAAATTTTCTTGACCTCCCTGCCAGCTCCTTGCTCTAAGATCCAGTCTGCCAGGCACCGTGTAAAGTGAAGCCCGAAACACAGGAAACCTTCTACGTTCCAATACCCTGCTAAGGAGATGGACATCCAGGAAATGGGGACAGTCCTAGAAAACGGGGACCAAGGCAGGAGGAAAGTAGGATGGAGACTCCTGCGCCACGCCACCGCCACCTCCTCCTCCGCTTCCAAAGCTCCCCGGAGGCCCTTCCAGGTCGCTGGCCCAGCGGGCGGCAAGGCCTGACGTAGCAGAGCCAGCCGGCGGCCCGTGGATCCCGGGGTCCCGTGGGGGCAGCGTCCTCACCATCAGAACTTTGGCCGCGTTCTCCAGCTGAGCGATCACTTCTGGGGGCCCCAGCGCCGCCGCCATCATGGTCTCTCTTCAATGACGCGCCATGCGCTGCATTATGGGAGCGGGCGCCGCGACCGGCCAATCGCCGCCACGACCCCGGAGCCTCACGCGCTCCCGAGGCCGTCGCAGCCGTGGTCGACGCCGGCGTGGCGGCCTCGGCGGGGCTAACAGTGCCGCCGGGTCCTAGGCGGCCAAGAGGAGACGAGTGTGAGCCAGGCCGCCGCGCTACCGTGAAGGCGGCTGCAGCCGGCGCCAGGCGAGACCGGGCTATCCGCCCAGACCGCGACGGCCGCACGTCCCACTCGGCTCTGAGTTCCGCGCATGCGTGCTCTTCTGCGCGCGGGTCTCCTGGCCCCCAGCTGGTGCCTTGAGACCCAGGTCCCGGCCACGCGCGGACGCATGCTCCCTCCCTCAGGGTCCTGCCATCCACCTCGCGTGCTCCTGCTGCTCCTTTCCTTTCCAAACTTTAATGCTAAGCGGGATTTCTTAGTGTTGGAACTGCTGTGCCCGCTTCCCGATTCTGAGAGCGCACCTCCTCTCAGAACGTCTGTTTCACTGCTCCTTCTTACCACAGGAGGAAGCATTCCAGGATAGAACTCTTCGTTTTCTTAATGGAACTCCTTTGTCCCGAGAGTTATCTAAACTTATATGGACCGCGAGTCGCTGAGAGACCCTAACAGGAAAGCCCACCCTTAGCACTTAACCATTTTCACTTCCCAAGGGCTGTCTCCTATAGAAGGAAAAAGCAGGGACGCAAAACCTTGACCTTGACCGCCTGGTTCCTTGAATGCAGTAAGACCTCAATTGCCATCAGCTTTGTCTTGTTTAGGGAATTTATAATCGTAATATTAAATATACAATATGTGATGAAAGGTGTATTCAAGTATCTGTATCCCTCCAGCGCTTCAGTCTTTTTTTACAACATTCCAATTCAAGTAATCAAGTGCTATTTCATTGTTCAAACTAGTTTTAACCGCACGATGGTTTGAGTAAGGGGCTTGTTTTAAGTTGACATCTCTTCTGTAACTTGTACCTTTTGGTGCCTGTTCTGCTTTTTGGAACTGCATCAGAATTTCATTATTAACTCCATTGTTTCTTGTATTTGACTTGTCTACAACTTGAAATTGAGAAAGTAAATTAATGAGATTTCTATTGTTTGAGAAAGGAAATACCTTTTATTTCATTACCAAAGAGTAAAGTGATCCAAAATGCAGTTAATAGTCCTTTTTTAAGAAGTGTATGAACCTAAGTGGTTATCATAGTACCTGACAAATAGTACTCAACAAATATTCTACCAAGTTTAGAAATCTTCAAAAAGATTGCATAATGACTCTAGCTTCAACCAAACATAATTAACCTAAGATCAATTATATATCTGCAGATATATAATAAATGAAGTTTGTGACATTAAATGTTTGAGGCTTAATAAATACTTCAGATTGGGCCTTAGATTACAAAGCATTTGTTTTGTGCAATTATGTAAGAACTTCACAACTAGGCATGCTTTAAGAAAGAGGAGGAAAGTGAATATACCACAATGAATCCTTTTATATATATAATGCACTATATCTTTATATTACATATAGTGTATATATATATATATATATAGTATTATATATAGTATATATTGTAAATAATATATAGTATGCATAATATTTATAATTTTTAGTATATATCACATATAGTATATACTTATAATGCACTAATTAAAATAGTAATAATAATAGAAGGGATATCAGTACAATAAGTGAATCAGTAGAGGGGAGAGGGTAGGAAAAATGAAGGTACTAGTGAATAAAACTGATCAAATTAAGTGCATGTATAATTATAGCATAAAGAATCCCACTATTATGTATAATTATAATGCACCAATAAAAAATACATTTAAAATTTTTTTAAATTTTTTAAATTTTTTTTAGTTGTTGATGGACCTTTATTTTTTATTTATTTGTATATGGTGCTGAGAATCGAACCCAGTGCTTCACACATGTAGGCAAGCACTTTTCCACTGAGCTACAGTCCCAACCCTCAAAAACATTTTAAAAGAAAGAAAAATATTAAATATGAAGATGAATATGCTTCCTTTCACATTAACATTGTTTTTAATTTGAGGCTTTTTTTTTTTTAAGTGGTACTGAGCATCAGACTTGGGGCCTTGCATGTGCCAGGCAAGTGCTCTGCCATTGAGCTACATCACCAGCATGAATTTGAGGCTTTATAAAGTAAGTTATAGCATCTCACATAACTGGGAGCCATAACTTCAGTGCAAAATTGAAGTTGTAGAATCTCAATATCGGAAGCACTTTAAATGTCACCTTTTTATATTTTAACTCTCTTCCAATACCTAACACTTGTTATTCTTTGACTCATTATTCAATAATAACATTCTAGGAATCATTAGAGTAGTATTTCAGCCTATCCTGCTTGTTCTTCACATCCTAAAATAGAAGAAGAGAAGAAATTTCAAACAATTTGTCACTAGGCATGAGAGAAATGTTTATAGTCTAGAAAAGGGTAGATGCCTGGTTAAAATTAAGAACATTTTACTAATATTCTATTTTACTAGTATTCTTTGTACACCTGTGATGCCTTAGGCTCCAAAACATCCCTTTTTATTCTTTGCCAATGGGATTTGCTTTATAGACAAATTTATTTTCTGTCTTTCTTAAATAGTTACTTTCTGGAAACATTTGTTAAGCCAAAATATAGCTGCTCACCATCCCTGCTACTGACATTCTGGTGCAAAAGGATAGCCAATTGTTGTACATAATAGATAATGCTAGTTTAAAACTAGAAGATAATGTAGAGAGTATAGAATCTTAAGATTTGGGGACTGAAAATACTTTTAAGGATTTTCTGGTTTTCAGATTTAAAAAATAAGACCAAAGAAGTTAAATGACTTAGGAGGTACAACTTAAAGGTGTGAAGTCAAATATGAATGCAAGGTTTTGCTGTTATTATGGAATGCCAATCACTTGAGTATTTATTTATCACAGTGCTTAATGCTGTAAGTTATTGAAATTGGAGACATCTTTGCTTCCAAAGAATTTGAAATATATATTAAAAGATAAGACTAACATTTAAAATAAGTGCCAGGGGTGTAGCTCAGCAGCAGAATGCTTGCCTAGCATGAGTGAGACACTGGGTTCGATCCTCAGTACCACATAAACAAATAAATAAATAAAATAAAGGCATTCTGTCCATCTACAACTACAAAATAAAATAATAATAACAGTTAATTCATTCATATTCCATCACTTCTCTCATTTCTTTCCATTTTCTATGCTATAAAAAGTACATTTGTCTTTGCCCCTGATTCTGGGAAGAATGCACCTGGATGGTAGGATATTTTTTGTTATTCATGACAAGCCCCTTGTAATCACACCTGAGTTTGAGCTAATGAGGTATCCTAGGATGGACTGGTCATGAGAAAGACAAAGTAATTAGAAGGTTAGAACTTTGTCTCACCCACTGGCCTCTGAGAAGGAAAGGGGGAGAAGAATACACTAGAAATTTGAGTTATTCAACAAGGAGATGGAGGTTGATAAATCCATCCCCCCATGTGTATGGACACACCCAAACTTAGTGAAGACAGAGGCTCCTGTGCTTAAGACTCTTCCACACCTCACACTATGTGGCTCTTCATCTGGCTGTTCACTATGTTCTTTATAATAAACTGGTAGATGTCAGTAGTGTTTTCCTGAGTTCTGTAGGTCATTCTAGCAAATTATTAAACCTGAAAAGGGGATTTTTAGAATCCTTAGCTTAGACTCAGCACATCAGATCTGTGAGTGGCCTCCAGGACTTGTTACTGCCAACTGCCTTCTGAACTAAAGAAATTCTGTGAGACTGAACCCTTGGCTTCTGGAGTCTGCAGTAGCTATAAGTAGTTAAGGTCAGAATTAAATTGACCTTAGAATACCCAGTTAGTGTTGGAGAATTACAGACCAACATATGGATTATTGAAATATTTAAGAATTTGATATCAATAATGAATATCCTAAGGGGTGAGGCTGTAACTCAGCAGTAGAGTGCATGCTTCACATGTGTAAGGCCATGGGTTCAATCCCTAGTACTGAAAAGGTAAATAAACAAAATATGCCAATCAATTTGATACTGATACTATATGATAGTTTATGTTTCCAACACAATTACCAAATGAAGGACACAAAGTCATTTCCATCTATTAACTCATTCAATTCTTGTAAAAACCTTATGAGATAAATAGTTATTTAATTCAAAATACAAATGAGAAAATTGAGGTAGACAATAGTTGAGTAACATGCCTCAGAAATAGTGGAACTGGGACTTGAAATCACACAAATTATCTTTTCCAATTACAATGAAATGAAACTAGAAATTAACAGCATAAGGAAAATAAGAAAATTCACAAATATGTGAAAATTAAACACCATACTCTTTTAAACAATGAAAGGATCGAAGAAGAATTCAAAAGGTAAGCTAGAAAATATTTTGATACAAATGTAATAAAAACACAACATATCAAAAGTTGTGGGATGTAGCAAAAGCTGTGCAAAGAGGAAACTGCATAGCTGTAAACAAAAAGAAGAAAGATCTCAATCAATATCCTAACTTTACACTTTAAAGAAATTAAAAAAAGGCAAAACTACACCTAAAGCTAGCAGAATTAAGAAAATTAAGATTAGCTGGGTGCAATGGCACGTACCAGTAATCCTAGCAATTTTGGAGGCTAAAACAGGAGGATCACAAGTTTGAGAGCAGACTCAGCATTTGTGAGACCCTTTCTCAAAATTTTTTGTTGTTTGTTTTAATATTTTTTTAGCTGCAGATGTACACAATATCTTTATTTTGTTTATTTTTATGTGGTGCTGGGATAGAACCCAGTGCCTCACACATGCTTGGCAAACTCTGTACCACTGAGACACAGCCTTGGACCATGTTTTTGTTGTTGTTGTTTTGGTTTTGGTGGTGCTGGGGACTGAACCCAGGGCCTGGTGCATGCTATGCAACTGAGCTATATCCCTAGCCCCTCTTTCTCAA